TAACTTTTTTAATCCTCTTCAATTCATGTTAATTTGTTTCTAACATAGTTAAATGTGAGTGATATAAATTTATTAAATTCACATGACGAAGATATATTTGATTTTGTGGATAATGTGTCATTTAATGATTTAAGAGAAAATAAATGGAGAGTTTTTGATAATAACATTTTTTCTTTTCCTCAATTTGTCATAGGCATGTTCTAGAAATAAGTGAGAAAAAAATCTTATTGTTATCTTTCTTGTAGTGGGTCAAAATTAAAGATCAATAACCACATCAAACTTACATGGATGTCTCAATAAAAATAACCTTTAATTAGTTTTAAATTAATACTTACATGATACATCAAACTTACATATGACCCTAATGTTAAGATTTATTGATTACAAAAACATTTTCTAAATCTTAAACATCAACCAAACTAAATGTTCTACATATACAAAAATACCCACAACTTTATACCTCTTATATCATGAACCCAAATAAAATAATTAAACAAGATTGAAAAATAGCAATTGCTTAACTCTAAGATAAATAAAAGAAAAGTGAGTCATCACCGTTTAAAATATTTTTCAAATACATTGTACTTTTATTTAGGTCAACTTCGCTACTCAATCTTAATAATGTGTTTGGATGAGAAATTTTACAAATTTAAGGATTCTAAAATTATTGTTATTTGAATTACTTTGATTTTAATTTCTATCATTCTTGAAATATTTTGTTTAGATAAGTCAATTCAAATTTCTTAAATTTTAAATTATTGGATTGGATATGGTAATTTGATTCCACCATGATAAAATTAATTTTAAAAATATATTTATATGTTGAGATTTTTAAATTAAATTTTATAAAAATAAATATTAATTATTTTTAAAATATTTAATAATTTTAAAATTTAATATTAGATAATATTTAATAATTTTAAAAATATTTTTGAATATTTAAAATAATTAAAAGAATGAAGAGATAAGAGATAAGATAAAATATATAAGTGAAGGAATTTCACAAATACTTGAATTTCAAATTCCTTATTAATTCTTCATCCAAACAAGATATTTCACTTCAAAGAATTTGAATTTCTTCAAATAAATAAATTACTATATTTAAATTTTCTATCCAAACACACTATAAAACTAATAAAAGAAAGGAGAGAACATTTTGTTATTTTGGATAATCGACATCAAGAATATGACATCATTACACTATTCCATCATTCCATGCATAAGAATTCCAATTCATCGTTATAAAAATGATAACAAGATTTTTCTTCCACTTGCTTCATCAACACACCTTCCATAAACCAAGAAAGAGAATAAACTTTATTATTAAAACTTTTCATTCCCTCCTTCTTAAACTATTGATTGGCACATCATTATTCACAAAATTAAATATATTATCATCACGTAAATTTAATAAATTTATGTCATTTAAAATTAATAATGTTAAAAACAAACTTAAAAACAAAGATTAAAAATAATTTAAAAAATATAAATAAAGTAAGTAAAATTATAAGGATAAAAAAAATATTTTAACCTAATTATAATGAGAATTGCATAGTTTGAATTTAACTCATGTACTCTCCTTCCGAATTACAATGCAGAAATGGGATAATATAAACAACAAATCGTAATAACTGGACGGTTAAAGCTTTAAAACTTATATTAACAAAGTACCATTAATTAATCATAACATTTTAAACATTGAAACGTACAAAAGTTTTCAACATAACTTATATTATAGGTATATTTAACTGTTGAATACATGATTCTATAAATACCCCCATTCATCTGTATAACCCACATTCAAAAATAATTTAGACTTGTGGCAAAGTGAAGTAGATATGAAGCTTTCTTTTAGGCACTGTTTTCTGTTGGCACTTATTTTTACAAGTATTTCCTTTGCCCTTACAAATGTAATTCATATATTTTAGGGTTATACTGAAGTGTTGTCATTTATTTGATTTCCTTGACCCTGTTTTGTTTTACAGTTTCGATGGCAACACAAACCGTTGCGACGCATACTTGCAGGGAATTACGATACCATACAAGTAATTGTGCTTTTGTGAGTTGTACGAAGGCTTGTGTGGCGTATACTGGAGATCATACTGCTGTTGGAGTATGCTTCTCAGATGGATGCCATTGCGAATATGATTGTCCTCCATAACTTTATTTTAGTTCAAGTATCAATGGAAAACAAAAATAAACCTTGTATTGAGAGCAAGAATTTATGGACATCATATTTCATTAATACAATGATATTTGAGCAAATACAATGATATTACATATTTACATATTTATCCTACATCTATATAGTCCCCCCCCCCTCTCCCTTTTTTTCTTCTTGTTTTTTCTCCTTTATTTCAATTTTTTTTTCTTTTCCTGTGCTTCTCTAAAATTTGGAAATTTGCCTTTTTTTTCAACCAATTTGTTAATGGTACTCCGCGGTTCCATGTATTTTTTAATAAATAAATAAAAATAATTGATTAATAATAAGAGGATGGGAAGATTTATTTTTGGTAATTATAGTTATAAAAGTAGTATATGATAAATATATACTATGTAATTTAAAATAAATATGATAATTTCATTAATAGTGCGTTTGAATGGAGAATTTTAAATGGAGTAATTCATTTATTTAAAGAATTTTAAAATATTTGAGGTGAAATGCCTTATTTGGATGCATTAGACTTATTCCATTCAATAATTCATATTTCACATTAAAATTTAATAATGCAACCATTAAATTAAAAGTTCTTAATATATAAATTAAGTCTATAAATTTTTAAAAAATTTAAAATTATTTGATATTTTATTTCATTAATTCAAATTGACAGATAATTGTACAAATATTTTATACATCAATTTAAATTAATAAAATAAAGTATTAAATATTTAAAAATTAGTTAATATTTATTTTTAAAAAATTTAATTTAAAAATCTCAACATTCAAAAATTTTTTTAAAATCAATTTTACCATGGTAGAATCAAATTATCATATCCAACCTAACAATTTAAAATTTGAGAAATTTGATTTAACTTATTCAAACAAAATATTTTAAGAACGATAGAAATTGAAATCAAAGTAATTCAAATATCAAGAATTTAAAATTCCTCGAATTTGTAAAATTTTTCATCCAAACACACAACAAGGGTGTGTTTGAATAAGAAATTTAAATGAAATAATTTATTTGCTTGAATAATTTCAAATTTCTTGAACTAAAATATTTTGTTTGGATGATGAATTTATAAAGATTTTGAATTCAAATATTTATGAAATTTCTTAAAATATTAGAATTTAAAATTTTTTTCATTTTTTTTTATTTCATTTATATATTTTATCTTATCTCTTATCTCTTAATGCTTTTAATTATTAAATATTCAAGATATTTTAAAATTATTAAATGTTATTTAATATTAATTTTTAAAATTTTTAAATATTTTAAATTTGATTAATATTTATTTTTATAAAATTTAATTTAAAAATCTCAATATATGAATATATTTTAAAATTAATTTTACCATGTTAGAATCAAATTACTATATCTAAACAAATAATTTAAAATTTAAGAAATTTGAATTAACTTATCAAATAAAATATTTTAAAGATGATGAAAATTAAAATTAAAATAATTCAAATACCAAAAATTTTAAATTTATTGAATTTCCAAAACCCCTCCTTCAAATACACCTAAAAGAATTTAAAAATCTTTTCGTTAAAAAAAAAACACCTATAAAACTTATTGTTAATAAAAAAAGTCTTAAAAAATACTTTTACACAATATAATTATTAGTATTTAATGTATAAAAGCAAATATATATTAACAATTAACTATCGTCTAACATAATAAAAAAACTTAAGGAATGTATTTAGCACATTGAACATATAATTGAAGAACCTAGATTTTAACTTATCCATAATATTAAAATTAATTATAGGAGGGTAAAAGAATTATCATAAAAATAATAGTTATAGTTGAACATGACTATCATAATAATATGAATAATTCAGTTAAAAACACTTTCATATACTGAAAGATAATGAAAAATAACTTAAGTTAATTTATCTTCATATAAATTTCTATAAACTTTAAAATATTAAAAGTCATCACATTTTTTTTAAAAATTTAAAATTTATTAAAATTTACAAGACTTTTTTATGCTAAAGTTTATCAAAATCTTAATCGAATATATCCCTCTTAGTTATAATAATATATTTTTAGATATCTAATATTTTTATAAAAATATTTTTTATTAAAATAATCCCATTAAATATGTTTATCTATCCAAATTATATTACAAATATGACATTAAATTATTTTAAAAAGTTGATAATTCATAGTTAAAATTATTTAAATACAAAATTAAACAAAAGAAATAAACAGAGCAACATGTTATATAATAATTAAAAAAGATAAAAATATATTATTTTATTTTATTTAAATAAATAAATAAAGTATTAATAAATACTATTAAATTGTAAAAACAAAATAACTTTAATAATATTATTAAAATTGATAAGGTCAATAAATAATGAAATATAAAAAAAATAGAGAAATAAAAATATGGGAGGGGAATAGAGAGAGGGAAAGGGATATAATAAAATTGATATTCTTATAATTTTTTTAAATAACTACAAAAAATCCATAATTCTCAATGATTTAAGATTCTAAAAAGATAAAAATTGTTTAAAATTTTGTTATATAAATTTAAATTAATATATACAATATTTTTATGATTATTCATTAATTTAAAATAATGAAAATAGATTTGATTTATATATTAAAAATTTTAATTCAACAGTTGAATCATTAAAAATAAATATAAATATATATATATATATATATTATTTTAAAAATGAATAGAAACATAATGAAATAAAACATAAAAAGTGAAAAAAGTGAGCGAGAATAGAAGTGATTGGGGTCCACGTAAGAAGAGATCTTAGGATTTGATCTTTAAAATGCTGGGGTGTTTGTTTCAGTGGTTCTATGCTATGCAACAGGGTTTAGCCAACAACGGCCTCTGCGAAGGGTGGACCCACTTTTCTATTCCTAAACCAGTCTTACTTTTCTTTATTTCTCTCAACACTCTTCAGAAAGATAAGAACTCGTCAATCCTTTCAACCACTCGCCAATCTTTTCTCACATGTACACCACAGGTAAACAAACAAATCTCTCTTCTTTGTCAAACTCTTCAAAGATACAATTGCCTTCCTTGTCTTAAAAAATAAAACTCACCTTTCTTATTAAATTCTATAACGTTGTCTAAATAACAAGAAACAGTGCTGCTGCTTTTCTACAAGACAGTTTTTTTAGTGAAGAATGGAACACCCTTGATGTTGTGGTAATCACGGTGTTTTTTTTTTTTTTTAAGAAACTAGTAAGAGTCATAGAGTTGATGCTTCAGTTGCATTTGAATTTTGAAGTTATCGTGTGTGATGTTGATGTAGTGAAACGCACTTCAATTGGGGGTGTAGCTAAGCGGTAAAAATTGGACCTTTCGATTTTGTTGGGAGGGTTTGTTACTTTGTTTGCTGCTGAGGGTTGTGTTGACTACTAAAAGTAATGGCATCGTCACATGGTCATGCACACTCGGACGCTGCAAAGATGGAACAAATAATCACCGAGTTCTTCGCCAAGAGCCTTCACATAATACTTGAATCAAGGTCTCTGTATGCGTCCTCGCGCAATTCCTATGGTGATCAAGTTGTTTCGTCGCCGTGTTCATCGTCTTCATCTTCATCAAGTGTGAGGCCGAGGGATAAGTGGTTCAATTTGGCGCTCCGGGAGTGCCCCGCGGCGATGGAGAACATTGACCTCTGGCGCCAGAACAATCTTGAGTGCATAGTGATTGATGTGGTTTTGGTGCAGAGGCCTCTGGATTGGGACCCTGTGGCTGTGAGTTTTTCCCCGAAAAGGGTTGTTCCTAGGAGTTCCTCACTGAAAGAAAGATGCCCTTTTGGCTGGAACAATAATGATCAGGAGGAATTGGGGGTTGTGGAGAGGTGGGTTGTGCAGTATGAGAGTAGGAGGACAAGGGATTCTAATTCTGGCTCTAGGAGGTCAAGCAATGTTTCTTTGCATAGCTTGTATAAGAAATCAACTTTACTTTTGAGGTCTTTGTATGCCACTGTCAGGCTTTTACCTGCCTATAAAATTTTCAGAGAGCTTAATTCATCAGGACAGATTAGGGACTTTACCCTTGCTCACCGCGTGTCTTCCTTTTTCGAGCCCTTCACCCGTAAAAAAGAGGCTGAAATGATGAAATTCGGATTCACCCCTGTGGATACTTCTTCTGGTAGGTTGTGTCTTAGTGTGATGTATTGCCCCTCAACCTCTGATGTGAGCTCAGAACCTTCGACTCCCATGTCCCCACAAGTTATATCTGACTATGTTGGGAGTCCACTTGCTGATCCCTTGAGGAGGTTTCCTTCTCTTCCTGTGGCAGGGTTGCCATTGCACGCCTCTCCATCGTCCTTGCCATCATCTAGGCCGCGAAGTTTGAGTTTTGATCATTATAGAGCCTCGCCTCCGTCTTATTTTCCTTCGCCTATGCATTCAGAATCACTCTCATCAGTGTATAATGCTGGTTTGCGGCGTTTCCCCCCTGCAAGTTTGCCTCCTCCTCCAACTGAGATGCCTTTGATCCAGAAGAAGAATACAAATTTTGATGATTATTATCCCTCTCCATCACCTTCAACTTATAGTTCCGGGTGCAAGCCACTTTTACGATCTGAAAGTGCTCCAGTCAGCATACCTACTGCTAAAGTTGCTAATTCCCCTGGATACTCCAATAGATATAATTTGCCTCCATCACCTCCCCTAAGAGCTTCAAGGGGCACCGCTAAGATTGATACAAGTACAACCACATTGCAAACAGGTGCAACAGCTGAGAAGGTATACTGTGTGCTAACCACAATAAACAATTTCCACAGTTCAAAATATATTTGATTTGTTAAGGGTGCTTGTGCTTTCTGCAGTTGTTTTCTCTTGGAAAAGAAGAGTCCCGAAAATATTCTGGAGTCAAGATATCAGCTAACAGCTCACCACAGATTTCAATTTCCAGAAGCTCCAGTAGGTCTTATCAGGATGATTTTGATGATGCTGATTTTACTTGTCCGTTTGATGTGGATGATGATGATATGACGGATCCAGGAAGCAGGTACTTCCAACTGAAATTCACTTGCATTTATGCTTGCTTATATGCTAAACTTTTACATAAGAATAGTAATTATAGTATATTAACTAGATATGCTAATAACAGAATAGGCCTTGTTGAAGAGAGAACAACAGTCTTTATGAATATGACTAGTTGATCCTACAACATATCATGGTGGGTCCTTGCATGCATGTTAAAATGCGTCTTTCCCTTCCCATCTTCAACAATCTTTTGTTATTTTGGTCGGGAAAAGTCTAGAGACTTGGGGTTTCTGGGTGGATCAGTTCCAATTTATAGTTATATTGTTTATATGTAACAATTTATTCAGGAATGGAAAACTTGACTAACAGGTTAAAAAATAAAAGCAAAATAAAATATAAGCTCTATTATTTTAATTTCATCATCTATCTCTTCAGCACAGTTTTTGACATGTATGATGTATCAAAATAGTTTTTATTGCTTGTCCTCTTTTTCCAATTTAAGATTAACATCTAGACATTAATTGGTAAACTCACCTACTTTTTATATGCATAAATATTTGACTTCACCTATATTTTGGTGGAAGTTTGGCACTATTTTGGGTCTGTTCATTTGCTCCTTGAAATTGTAAATGTTTATGATGTGTGTCAGTGACTATAATATTGAAATGGTCTAGATTCACTATTATTTTCTTATTTTATTTTTTCACATCTTTGGAAGTGTATTTTATTGGTATTTAATGCTATATTTTCCAAAAATAAATGATTGGTGTGCAATATTTGGAGTTAATGAATCTGCTGGTGCTGCTTTGTTCTTCTTTAAAGGTGTCTTATACTATAGCTTTTAAACAATGAACAGTAATCTATTTACTTTTGCACCCACCCATCTTGTTCTCCCTTCTACAGTTCTATTGATTCTTTGGCTGACAAAAAATTGATCTAGTTTCAGCTAGTTATCACTATAAACCCAGTCGGATCCTTAGAGGATTTAATAGACAAAATACCAGGATCATACGTATCCTTACTGTTATTTGATTGTAATAACCAATAAGAGATCCACATTCTTTATCAGTGGAGAGGGGTGTGTGATTTCCTTCAGGAACCTCAGTGCTGTCATACCATTGATACAAATACATGAACAATCTATTATATAAAATGATTTAAGATTTTTTATTTTATGAAGAATATGCCCCTATTCCAAGCATAACTCTTATAATGGTAGTATGCAAGGTTGTCAAACTCCTAGGTAAACTCATTAAACTTTTGTAGACTCGACTCGTAAACTTGTATGAGTTTACTTATTATACAAATAACATTAAAACAACCTATTAATGATATATATGCATAACATAAATAGGATTGAACTACATAAATGGTATTTTTTTATTTTTCTAGAAATAACAAAATTTAGACAGAAAAAGGGTTTATATATATATATATATTTACATTTGCTATTTTCACAGATATTTACAAAAGTGGCGTCTTATGTTCATTTTGATTTCTATTTTCAAAGACTTGTATTGGTAATAGTGAAAACAGTAATTTTGTTATAAAAATAGAAAACATTTTCTCAAGCTAACAAATCATAAGATACCAAAAAAACATACACACACCAGAGAATATGTAAAAACAAGAGTTCTGCTATATTGCCCTGTCTGTCTCTTTGCATAGTTGAAAAAGCCTCGAGAAAAACACAAAGAGAGGTCACAAACACTATATGGTCCATGACATGTTAAGAGGCAGAGAGACATCTTTGAAGATGGGACTGTTCTTCCCTGTTATGGAGGCCGGGGTTTTGAGGATCATCCTCATGTCATCATTGGAAGTAGGATCAACGATTTATCTGTCTATTGTCTATTGATATTGGACCATAAGTATGATACCTCTTACTGCAGGGTGGAAATTAGACCTTCATGAGAAAAGCCCCTGGCTGATCACTGGTGAAATCTTCTATGGTCTCCTTTAGTAGTGTCTTAGGAGTTGGAAGATCTCCCATTGGTTGGGAAGGCCCATTGTGTATAAGTTTGTTGTGTTAGTGTTATCGGTGACTTTCTAATATTACTATAGAACTGGATGTTCCTTTAAAGGGAGTTAAGGATTGTAACCTTATTTAGAAGGATCACTTTCATCATTGTTCAGAATAGCTGCTACGGGCTAGTGGCTACCTATTGTTTAACATGTGTTTAGGTCTTTGGGAGATTTAGGCTGTGTTTGAATAGCTGTTAGCAACATTTCGATGCACTGAATCGAAGAAGTATGTATTTAGATGGATTGGAATAAACAGACATTGTTGCAAACGTAAATACAAACAGACTCAACAATTTGGAACTTTCTTGCTCCTTTTTACCAGAAAGGATTTGCTTTAGCCTTTAGAAGATATAAACCCTAAACCCTAAACAACCGTGGTTTGAGAGATGTTCGAAGGAAATTAGGGGATATTTTATATCAGAGTAGAAAAAGCATCCTAATTGCAGATCATATTGGTTTCATTTAATATTTATTGTAATATTAGTTTGTAGATATGGTATCGAGAGTTGCATGCATGAAAACAGTTTGCTAGATAAAATATGCTGCTGCTTTTTTTTGGAACATCCTGATTTGTTGTAATTTAGCTTCTCTTGTAAATGTATCAACTGTTCCTCTTATACTATTATTATATTTTGGCTTATTTGCACTTTTGGTATCCTGGATATTAAGATCTTGCGATTTTGGTCTTTCAAGTTGTAATTGTATCAATTGAGTCCCTCCGATATCCTTTCATTTACAATCCAGTCCTTTGTCAAATATTTAATGACATCTGATGACATGACATTGACCGCTTACATTAATACGATGATCCTAAATCCTAAATCTTAAACTCTAAACCGTCACATGCTAGCTGATTTGGCATGCTGACATGGAGATTGGATTGGACCATCTCAGCATGACATCATGCTAACATTAACACTCAGTGCCACATCGGTAGATTCCGTAAAAATATTTGATGGAGGGACTTGATTGTAGATGAAAGGATAACTGTGGGACCCAATTGGTGCAATTAGAATCTTGAGGATTAAAATTTCACAATTTTGATCCTTGGAGGACCAAAATGTAATTGAGTCTTATATTTTATTTAATTGAGTTTTGACTAGTAGGTATATTCTTATTAATTTTAATTTTGAATAGCTGTTAACTTGTTATCTTTCAAGATAGGGTTCTACTTTCAGGTTTACCACTCAGTTCACAACTTCACATAGATACTTGTGCATTACAAATTCATTTATAATTTCTCTACATTGAGTCAAACTTAAGAAAACATATAATCTGGTTATTCTTTTCCCTTCCTTTATAAGCTATGGATTACATAAATTTTGCTTGACTGCGTTTTAGTTTAACAATTTTAACACGATTGCTTGCGCATAACCAGAGCTGAGTCTTTAGATCATGGTCATATGGCTGAGACGCTTGAAGCTGGAGGATTCTTTCCCACTAGAAAATCTCATGATGCTGCTGTTGGTGCACTTGTACATATGCTGAAGAAAGCGCCACCTCTCCGTCAAGATTACTCTGCCTCACAACACCTGTCACAAGGTACACACCCTGAAACCTGGAACAATAACATTCAAGGAACTAATCAGATCCTAGAGGCATCAAAGCCAGCGAGCATAATGTCTTCCGGGATGATAGCCACTAGGAAAACAACAGCTGATGCATTGGAAGAGTTCCATGGTTACAAAGAGATGAAAAACTTGTTGCTCATGCGAGGTAGTAAGCACTAGATATAGAATTTGTTTGGTTACAAACTTAGAAGCGTTTTCAAATACTTTTCTACTAAAAATAAAGAATTTTTTCTAGTAGAGAAACTCTCAAAAACACTTCAAGCTTGTATCCAACCAAACGCCTAGTAAATAACATATAGTATAGTAAACTTATGCATCGGCCATATGGCTTTTATGCTTGTGTTAAATCAGTAAGACACATGTACAGCTTTAAGCTTTTCCTCCCCTTGATAATCGGTTCAGTTTAATATGTTCTTAGTTTTGAAAATACGTGTAAATATGATGATTAAGTTTTGATCTATGATCATGTCTGAGCTGGCTGGCATGGTACAAGCCTTACATTGTGTATAATACTTGAAACTGTTAATCGACACGTATTGTATATAACAAGGCAGAAGCTTCATTTAATTTTCAGGTTGTAGATTCACTTCCTTTGATTATATTATTATGTACATATTAAAAGATCATAGTTTAGGTAAATCCCATGTACAACTTGATACAATAATGACCCTTATGACGTTTTTTCTTTAATATCTTTAGTAATAATACAGTAAACTCATTCAAATTCTTTTCAGACACGATAGACCAACATCATCTTCACGTGCTGTAGATTCAAAGTTAAATGCTGCACATTGGAAAGAAGCTTAAACTATTGATTCAATCGTTTTTTTTTTCAATCTATTATTTAATTTCGTTTATTTGTGAACAAAGTCAATTTTTTTTTTGAAAGGAACTCACTTATTAGATCATCAATTAACTGAAGCATCAAAAAAAGACTATCAGTTAACTAATTCCTTATTAATTTGGAATATTATCAGGTACACTTGAATTTCAATAGTTGAGTGTCGTGTTAGCAAACGACCGTCACAGATTAGTATATCAACATTTTTGTACAATGTTGGTTTGATTTAACCTTTTATAAGAGCTAAGACAAAAATTCACGTATTTTGTTAACGTGAATATATTTTTTTTGGTCTCATCTAAAGTGGTTAATTTGATAGATAATGAAATAAGACCTAAAAAAATTGCAAAAAAAAAGTGATATGTTCAAAGGTGGTCCTACCAAAAAAAGAATAAAAATTCAAATGGGGTTTTGCCACGTAAAGGTGCGCTGGAAAGCCAATCTCTATGCAATTTGTGAAACTAATTAAAAAAATGGTGATCAATTAAAAAGTAGTGAGAACCTCATATTGTGCTCCAATTTGGAAAATGTACAAATTAGAATAGACATGTTTAAAACTAACTCGGGAAAATGGCTAATGTATTATTAATATATAAAAAAGGAGCTAATACTTGGTGCTATAAATATTTTAAAATTTCGTTTAAATATAAAATAAAAAAGTTTAAGAAAAATATATAATTATGAAATAAACTAATGTAATTTATTTAAGTAGAGTTAAAAAAAATATAAACTAAAATAGGGAAATATTTAAAGCTATATATATATAATTATTTTAAATTGAAAAGGTAAAAGTTACATTTAACCTTTTTTTTTATGATAACTATAATATTGATATAAAATATCCACAAAAGGTACAAACAGAAAATGATTAATATTTGTCAAAGATCGTAAGCGTACACAGGATGAGTATTCCTTTTTCCGCATAATCTATTCATTTTTTAAGGTTAGGATTTAAACCCCGGACAATTTTGTTAAGAGACATAAATCATTATTAGTTATATCAATTAATGTTCTAATAGAAAATTTTATTATAATTTTAAAAGGAACACGTAATATTATAATAAGCCCTTTTTTAAGAGTTAATAGACAAATTTATTTAAATTTTTAAAAATATAATGACAATATTAATTAAGAAGATAGCAAATTATTTCTTAAGTCTAATTAATAGTCATATAAAATCTTATTATTTGAATTTTTTGTTTTCATATTATTGTTTAAAGGTATTCATAGATGTGATTAGATTGTTTTTTAGAGGAAAAGTCATCCAATCCAATCTCTTTGATTTTGTCCTTTGATCATCTAATTGGTTTGATTTAAAAATCAAATCAAATTCAATTCAATCAAAATATATTTTGATTTAGATTGGATTAATTTTTGATTTTTCAAACATAACTATAATATTTTCATGCATATAATAATAATAATAATAATTAATATATGAACTCAAAGAATCTAGCAATTTTCATAATAATTACAAAACCACTGACTAAAAAATAATAATAACAACCAACAGTTTCAAATTTCAAGTATTTCAATAGTTAATATATTAATTTATTAGACAATGAAATACCATTTCAAATTATAAAATTTTTGCATTAGCTAATCAAATGGTTTTTGATCCCCTAGGAGAAAGATAGAGATTAGCTTGTGGCAAAATAGTGAACACCGAACATTAATTTAAGTTGGTAAGTGATAAATGTGGACATTAAATAAACATTTTAACCAATTAAAAAAAAATGATAAGTATTATTTTAAGTATAGGTGATGATTTTATTTTAATAATAGAATAATAACAATATATATTTAATTATAAAAAAAAACGTTTTAGTTTAGTTTGGGTTGGATCAGTTTTTCCGTTGGAACTGAAAACCAATCCAATTAAAAAATTTGTTTTTTTGGATTTTTGATTTTTCCAATTTGATTGTATTGATTTACATTAGACTGAATCGGGTTATGAACATTTCTATTAATGGTGTAAAGTATCTGCTAATTTTGTTGATGATTAAACTCTTTTTAGAAATTTGATTAGTCATTTTTTGTAGTAGTCTTCCTTTCTCATTACATTTTCTTTTTACATCTACAAGACTTAAATATGAGAGTTAATGGATCCAAACTTAGTTTAACTCAAACCAACAACATAATAATATATTTTTGAATCAAGTTTGGATAAATTTTTATACATAATTTAAAAAGAAAATAATAAAATAAACTTATTTCACAGACCAATATAGCTTATCCACAAGTTAAAATCAACTTTTTGAAAAAAACTAGTTTATGAGATAAATTTATTTATTTTTTCTATAAATATTTATGGCAAAACTTATCCAAATAAGATCTTGATGACGTACAGGCCAGTTTCGAGATTTTATGTACACAGATTAACATAGTAGATAAAATCTCATATATATATATATA